TATCCCCTATATAGTGCACTATGTGCCATCCACCATATAGTCATTTTTTAAACAAGTGACCGATTTTATCCACCGCTTCAGCGCCTATTTATAGGGGGCCGGACGCTTTAGATTCGAGCATTTGATTGGACGGAAAATCTGATGAGAAGCTGAAGTGCAGACAGAGTGATGTCATTAAAATCATTGATCCATATTGGCAGAAGTGAGAGACTAAGTTTTGAATGCTTATATCTTCTAAATGAGAATTTTTTATCTAGATAACAGTAAGGCTAACATATTCATACTAAAAGCCAAAAAACGTCAATTTTGATTTCATGGGGACTCTAAGGTGTGTATTTTGCACTCTATATATGTATATTGTAATACTTTTCATAGTTTGAACTCTGGAATATCAATTAAACAAACAAAATCTACATAAAAAAAATCAGTTTACTTGAATTAGCGAATTAGGCAACTTTTTTTTTTTTATGAAGAAATTATAATAACTGGCACTGCAATACACACTGATCAGAAACAGCATGAGTACCCTGCAGTGGAGTTTCATCTGAATTCACTGGCACAGGTTCAGCCGTTGTCAACACAGTTTATACAGCCCTTGTCTTTTGTCAATTGATTTAGCATAATCTCTTTAAAGGCACACTGCGGAACTTTTGGCCACTAGTGGCGCTCGACCTGTAACTTTCACGTCTAGCGTCCCTAGAGGCCACAAGCTCCGCAGCACTGTCGCAAAAGTCAACAAAAAGTCAACCGGTCCGCCCATAGACAGTGGGTCAGCTTCCCGTGTCTTTAGATTGTGTGTGCTTGCAGTGTTTGAGGCGGGCAGCCTGGCCGCGCTCGATTCCCTTATAGCAGTCTGCTGAGAGAGAGCGAGCGGCTTAGTGCTAACATGTCTGTGAGTGAATGTGGGCGCGGGACGGCGGGCCGGGCACATTTACTGCACTAAAATCACCGTCGGCCTGAGCTGACTGTAACTTATGTGTGTTGGTTTCGTTTTACAGAAACCGTGGGACATGTTGTGTGTAGTGTTTGTGGGCACTGAGTCGTGGGAACGTTCACTACATTTAATGTACATTTGACATGAGTCGATTTTATTTGTTCGAGCCCTGCACTGTGGCGGGCTGTGTTTGTGTGTAGAAATGAACAATGGGCTGTGGGCATTTTATTACACTCATAACACCATCGGCTGTGGCCGGAATACCAGAAAATACTACACTGCTTATTTGATTTATCTGTGTCACCTTGGAAACGGCATTTGTGTGCAGGCAAGCGTTAGCATCGGTCGGGCACCCCTCCTCCTCCTGTAGCTCACGCCAGCGAGCGAACGCTGGACCAATGGTGATCCTCGTCCTGGCTTTTCATTTGTCACTATGCCTTTTTCTTTTTTTTAGTGTCCTCTGACAAAACCTTTGCCTTCTTCCTTGTAGCTGTTGGTTCGGCCATGACGAAAACATACAGACGGCAATCAAACGCGAGTTGAGCTCTCACGTCAGAATCTGAGGAAGTTGTGGGTGGTGGGGGAAGTGACGTATGCCGTAAAGCGGTCGAATTTTGTAGTTCTTTTTGTGCTCGGGTTCCTACCCGAACCCCGAAGTTACATAGTGCTAGGAAAAGCGATACAGACACCTTCAGGCTTCGGCAGACGTGTCATTCAACCTATTGTAAGTCGATGTACCATCTCAATGGGTTTTGGTAATATATTATAAAGGTTGAAAAGTTCCACAGTGTGCCTTTAATGCAATTCGAGCATGTTTTCATTTTTGGAGGGGAATTTACTCATCACTCTTAAGTCCCAGTCAGGGGCTTCTTTTGGCAAAGTGGGTGCACCATTTGGGCCTGACATGTGAATGGACTGCAAGGATTAGGATGGATTAATACAGAGTTTGCCTGATGGCTGCTGAGATTTATCTTAGCGCTACAATGTGTTATTGCTCCCAAAAGGCTGCACCCACCCATCTTTACTTTGTAATAAGGTTGGATAATGCTGATCGCTGGTATTTGCCTGTTTCCAATTTACGAATCCAGCGGTTGTGGGAGGGGTCTGGAGGTTGAGTGACAGAGCATCGCTGACAGGTTAAACGGCTGTGTGAAAACAAAACCATCACTCACCAGCGTGGTAGCATTAAGACATCAGCATGTACAGCAGTCACTGTAGCCTTTAACATCAAACGTGCAGTTCTATCAGTCGACATGTGGATGTGTAGACTCATTACCGCTGTGTCCCTCACCGCTTCCGACCCTTTCCTTATGAATCTGTCACAGCAATTGTATGCCAGCTATTAGAAATGCATTAGTTCTGGTAATACATACAGTAGCAGCCTATACATTTTAAATGAGGGGATAAAATTAATCTAAAGGGACTTGATTGCACTTCCATCATTCTCCTTTCATACAGCTGAGAGCGTGGACAAAGGCAATGTGTTTCATATTTCTCCCACCCGTATTTACTGGACATGTCTGTTATAGGACAGTCTCCAATGACATGGTGAAACATATAAATGATTCTCCCACATTTTGCCCAAAACTGACATTGTCGGAAAATTGTGGTAATAGACTGCTTATGCAAGTCTCTCTCTAAGGGGCCTCTTCCTGTCCCTCTCTCTCTCTCTCTCTCTCTCTCTCTCTCTCTCTCTGAGGTCATCAGTAACTTTACTTCTAAAGGCTACTACACTGACCACACAAGTTACTGTTACACTTAAAAATGTATGAATGTTCTGGCATTACATAACAAATACAAATGGAATTTTTCTGTAAGAAAACAAGCACAAACACACTTTTCAAGCAAGACATTTTACGTGAAAAAAATTGTGTTAGGTTTGAAACAATAGATTAAATGAATTCAAAAAGATATTCTGAAACTTTCTGGCTGTGAACTGTTAGTTGATCACAGTTGTTCATAGTTAATGCGATGAACTTCACCTGTGGTTACACTGCTACGGGACCTGTGCGAACTTGAGGAGAACTGGCTTCATGCATCCACTAAAAACTACCTCGACACCAGCTGATTAAAGTCAAAGCTGAAGGCAAGAGAAAAGCGTCGTTCTAGCATTATTTTCAGTCAACGCTTTGATCATTTGTCTCATACAATAATACATTTTAAATGTGGCTTATGTCCAGATACTATTTGGGGCTATATCTAAACATTAAATACAGGCTGGAAACCCATGTAAATAACCTAGACCTACTGTAAAAGAAAAAATTATATTTTGACTTGAATAAAATCAATTCATTTAGATGGCACCACATGTACTGTATATCTCAATGAACTGATATTATTCAAGTCAAAAGCATTATTTTAACTTTTTTATTATTATCTGTTACTGTATTACTAAATCAACAGAAATGAATTAATGAGCTTCATGTGGTAACATCTCTTTTAAAGTAATTGAGTTTGTTCATAATAAGTCAAATTAACATTCCTGAATCAACCTAAATACATTAGGTTACGCTGACCAAACAAAATTTAAGCGTTCAAAATAGTTATTTAAGGTTTCAGGTTACCACTTTTTTATAGTTGTACAAGAGAAACAAAGGTTGCTTTAATAGTTGTACATCATTGTGTGAGTTTATTTATAGGAGGCTGGTAAATTGAATATACACTCCTATGGTACCTGTCTATTAAGTATGCACATATGCTATACAATACTAATGCTCTTCATTACACTAATTACACAGTGGCCCCGCTGTTTCCTGTCAGCTGACGTAGACCAAACACAACGTAGTACGACAGTGATGACTCACTCACTGCTGTTTCTGGATCTAAAGCACAGCATCTACTGTTTAATAACTCATCCAATATGCTTCCTATTGTTTCTAATATGAGAGTGTTGTATTTGAGGCTGAGTGGGGATGTCAGCTTTGAGGGCCCTGCTGTGAAAGCTTGACTCTTACACATTCACGGAGGCTGGCAAACAAAAACAATTTGACTCCCCAGTTCCCCTGAGCCAAGGCTGAGCTTATTATCTCTATTTATGCCAGCTTTGCACAGTGTCAAAAAGCACATGACGGTAACCAATGAAAGTTTAAGAGGTTGAGGGCCACGGTTCCTGCCGTCTGTTATTGCTTCCAATTCAAGTTTGATCAAATGAAAAATAAGACCATGAGTGCTGAGGAATTATGAATCCAGAGATGTAATTTCAAGAATTTTCTAGACGTAAAGTTGATCATGTTTTGAACAGTTTAACAAACACAATGCTCGCAAAGAAAGAATGAACACTTTAATTTACCAAAAGCCAATGGAATGAACTTTAACACCATGAGTCCTAATGGTTGCTTTACATATGTACTTTCTCATCAGTCAATACCATAATTGATAACACTTTAGAATAGTGTTCCATCATTAATGAATAATTACACAGGAACAAATGAGTAACGCACTATTAACACTAGTAATAGTGACACTCATTAGTAGGTAATAGTTCATCAATAACTACTTTTTTTTCATTCCTCCCAGAGGACTACTAAGAACTGTTACATACAGGTTCATAATCAATGTAAATAATGCAAAGTGAACGCTATAATAACGCTAAAATGAAGGTATGGTAACCCACTAGTAATGATTCAAATCCATCAGAAGCAATTACTATCCAAAAACCTTCCAAAATCCTCAAAATATTACAATGACTTTGGAGTTGGAGTGGAGTTACAATGAAGTTATCATGCTTTTCACTTTAGAATCCAAATTATTAGTAATTAATAATTCCTTCTGAAGGATGTAGTAACACTTGAGTCATAACTAGTGTGTTACCATGACCTTCACTTAGAATTAATTATACATTATGTATTATTCATGTCAATTATGAACCTGTATAGTCCTGGGAGGTATGAAAAAAATAGTAGTTATTAATTTAACTAATAGTGAACTACCACATTTGACTGAGCACTATTACTTACTAATTCGTTAATCAGAGTTTCTTGTTAGTTAGTATTTACTAGAATGTCAATAGTGCGTTACTCATTTGTTCCTGCGTAGTTATTTATTAATGACGGAACGGTATTCTAAAGTGTTATTTAATTCTACTTCAACATTGTAATGCTAAAAGTCAAGAGTGAATCAGTGTCTTTCTCAAAACACCACAACAACAAATGTAGTGCTGTGAAATACCAAATTATGTGTTGTGAAAGCATGAAAATATCTCTGCCACAAAAATACCATAAAATTGACCACATAGTTGGACTCATCACAATTAATTACATTCAGTTTGCCACAGACGTTCTGAGATTCTCGACGTTTCATTTTCTACATTATCACATGGCACATTGCATCACATCCACAGACATAGTAACAATCCAGTGTTATTTTGTACTGGGCCTGAAGGCCCCATACGCTTTCAGAAAATAATTACAATCTCAACAATAACGTATCTATTACTGGATGACCGTAACTGAGCACACTGCCACATCTGCATTTTTATTTTATGGCCATCTGTTCTGCTAGTCGTAGTGTTTAGCTTTCACAGTTTAATAATGAATCAGAAAACAAGTACCACAGAACAATATACATGTTCATTATGGCAATAATGGGATGGCCATCTCATGATTGACCATCTGCCCTCTTGTTTTGGAAAAAAAAAAGTCTCATGAATAAGGCAGATGTAAAGGAAATGTAATGAGAGTGGAGAGGATGAGATAGTTATTTATCAAGCAGTGATGTATTAGATTTAGATTACACTGAATTTTATTGCAAATGCCTGAAATGGTCATTTATTCAGTGAAACTTCAGATTAATGGAATGATACATTGAGACCATATTCTCAATTCATTTGCCGCTAAATACACAACATTTGTTCCAGTGTATTGCAGTTTTGCCCAGCACTGTATAGCTTCACAAACATTATTACTGTACAGTTTCTTTCAAATGAAAATGAACATTCAAAGAAACATCTATATTTCTTTTGATAAAACATTGCTTCTCTAATTTCTGCAAGTCACTTGTGGATTCAATAATCTGTTGAGTATACTGTCTAAAATACACAGACCACCCTTGCGTCATTCTTTGGTGAAGAATAGCTTTTTATAGAGATTAGCCTTGCTTAAGGGACGTGGCGACTGCTTTCTCTGCTCTCCAGCTCAGCAGGAGGGCTCTCTTCCCAGAGTCTTAATCCCAAATCCATTTCCCCCCCCCCCTTTTTTTGCCTTCCTTGGCAAAACATTGATGTGACATGGGCTCACACATTGAGCGTTGCTTTTCAGTTCTTGTTCAGGCTCGGTGTCTCCATGCTAGTGGTTCCTGGACAGAGTCTCTGGCATCCCAAAAGGATGGCAAAAGCTCGCCGAAAGTCAGCATTGAAGGCGTATATGATGGGGTTGAGAGAAGAATTGGCCCATCCGAACCAGACAAAAACATCAAATGTCGTTGGACTGATACAGGGGAGACCAGTCGAAGTGCTCTTACAAAATGGCACAATGCAGTTCAGGATGAAGAACGGCAACCAGCAGCACACAAAAACTCCGATTATTACGGACAAGGTTTTTAAGACTTTCGTCTCCCTTTTGAAGGACAGTTTGAAGGAGCTTTCGGACTCCACGTTGGAGCTGCCGCCCATGCTGTCATGGCGGATCTTGGCGTTCTCCGCGGCTCTTTCCAAAGCGGAGATCCGTCGGATCTGCTTCTGGGCGATTCTGTAAATCTGAGTGTACGTTACAATCATGATGGCGACGGGAATGTAGAAGCTGATGAGCGAGGAGGAAATGGCATACGTTCGGTTGAGGCTGGAGTCACAGTTGTCCGGCAGCAGAGCCCTGTGAGAAGCGTTGACCTCTGGGAAGCTCACTGGCTGAGCCTTGTGCCATTTGAGCTGCACTGGGATGAAGGAGATGAGCACAGACAGGGTCCAAGCCATGCTGATCATCACGAAGGCCACCCTGGGAGTCATCTTCCTCTCGTAGCGGAACGGGCTGGAAATGGCCCAGTATCGGTCCACGCTAATAACGCAGAGGTTCAGGATGGAAGCTGTGGAGCACATGATATCGAAAGCGACCCAAATGTCACAGAAAGCACCAAAGGGCCAGAAGCCGGCTACCTCTGTCACAGCCTTCCAGGGCATGACCAGAATGGCCACCAGCAGGTCTGACACCGCCAGTGAGATCACAAAAAAGTTTGTGACTTTAGAGCGCAGGTGGCGGAATTTTGTGACCGCCGCACAAACCAGTGTGTTTCCGATTAGGGTGGAGAGGATTAGAACGGAAAGAAAGCAACCGGTCAGAACCCGCCTGGACTGGTCACTTTCCATGAAACCGCTGTCAATTACAGTTGTCAAGTTCAAATCCATCACTGCCATTGTGCTGTGCATTAAGGATCACTGCATCATGAGAACTAGACGTGAACTGTTCGAACACTTCATCTTCGAATCCGTCAGACCTGTCACACTTCAGGTAATGTTGACCGTGTGTTCTTATTAAGACATTTTCATACCAACGTTAACATTTCCAGTTCATGCTCCATTACACAAAAGATTTGTCCTGCATTCCAGTTTGGAAAGTGCCAATAAAGTGTTTCAGTTCAGTGTTACTGTCATGCCGGTTGATATCATAATATCATAGTATATGATCCCATCAAAACTGTTCAGATAAGTTCATCTAATCACTCTGCACACAGTTTTTTAGTGTTCCCTTATATATTTGAGTGTGATCATGTATGAGTCCTTATGCCATAAGAGGACGTTTTAGATTCCAGTGAGCAATAACCGGTTCCTGCAGTTCTGTTAGTCAAACAAAGGGACAAAACTCATATTACAAGAGTAAAGACACAAAACAGCTATTATATTCTCTATGATAATTAAGAAAAACACCTTATCCTCACCTGTTAGATAATACCGAAGAGCTTCTTTTGTGCTTAAAGCTGCATTTATCCGAAAAATGTTGCACAATTTGGTCTTTGAAACATCTTGTCCGCAAAGAACGATTCACTTAAATAAACTAGAAAGAAAACTTGTTTCGTGTACGTCCTCCTCGATGAATGACTGTAACGCACCTTCATCCTGTCGAAGATCAGGTGTTATTCCATCAGCATGAGCTCCACGCGACGAATGCGCGTCGTGTTCTTGCTGCGCGAGCGTGGCGAGATTGGTGAGACCCACGCCGAGTGACATGACAAATACATTTAACACCGAGATGTGTCGTGTCCGATGCCCGAGGGGTTCGACAAATTACTCTAACAGTAGGTCATCCAGTTTCTAGAGTCGATGCTAAAAGAAAGAAAAACACTGTGGAGTCACAGTGAAGTGCACGTGAGCGATGCGCTCCTGTAATATTACGATCATATTACGAACTTGAACGGTTCTTGAACCGTTCATCTTAATTAAATCTTTACTTTATGGTCAGGCTATTAATTACATGACTAAGTTTCTTTATTGTTGTTATCGCTTTCCACTAAAGTAGGCTTCTGTGTGAATGAATTGCTAATTCCTTTATTTACCTGAGTGCTGCAGATTTTCACTGCTAATCTTCACCTAACTGGAATTAAGGAGATAGCCTACCTGAATTAAAGAAAATGTTGCAAAACTCGCATATTTGGTTTGCCAGATGCTATAACCTAAATCAAGTCTATGAGGCCACCTAATGGGGAGTCTTATACTAAGCAAATGTGTTTCTTACATGCTTTTACATGACATCCAGTGCTGTTAGGCTACTTGTTTGTTATCCTCAGTCCTTTACAAACAAACAATGCTTCATAATTAAATTACAAAATTCATCATTTTTTCAAGATTAAAGATAGCACAGCACATTTCATGTCTACTGCATGTAAAATGTTGAACTAATGGTTTATCAGATAAAATATTAATAGAATGATTAATACTGCATGTTTAATTCCCTAATTAGTCATTTGTTACAGTAAAGTGCATCACATGAATAAGCAGTGATTCATAATGAAGAACAGCATGTATTTAATATGGATTATTTCCTAGAGCAGCGTACACGTTGTTATTGTTAGTCCTATTGTATTTATTATTGCACTGTATTTATTATTATTATTATTTTAAATATGCAATGCAGTGTCGGGCACGGTAGTTTGAAATACTGCTCAAATGTCCTGTGGACATCAAATTTCCACACAAAATTGTTGTATGGAAAAATACACATTAAATTATGAATATTTTAATAAGTAAAATTCTCACAAAGGATCAATATGACAAGAGTTGTGTATAAACACACTGGCAAGAGAGAAGTGGCTACACAATGCAATAGGGTAAAAAGTCCAATGTGAGTATTTTTATCTTCTGTCTCTGTCATTTCCACTCTGGATGTAGGTCGGCTCTTGAAATTTGCTCAAAGTTCAGTGGAATTGTGTGAGAGAAACTTTTGTGATGATGATGACACCTTGTTGGTGGGTGTGATGTAGTAAAGCTTCAGATCATGAGTAGATATTAGACTGACCTCATCGCTGTCATCAACTTTCATCATCATCCACAGCGTGGAACAGAAGAATGCTGCTTAACTGTACAACTTTAGTGTGCTGCTTTAAAGCAACATAACTGTGAACAGAAAAGACATGCATTATATCTATAATGGACTATAAAGTGGCCTCTTTCCTCAGTGTGTTTTCTGCAATAACTTGGTTAATCTTGCAGTGCTTTGAAAGTCTAGAAACGAGCATATTTTGCCTGCAGCAATTCCTTGAAAAAAAATCATACATTCCCCCTACCAATAAATATCCTTTTTCTTAGAAGTTACTTTTTCCCCTTTTATTGTGACAATGTTTGATGCTACATTCCCACAGTGATATAACAAGTCAATCAATTTTAAAAGCTTTTGCAATAAGGATAAATGCACAATTATAGTGGTTAATCCTTACCTAAATTAACTGGTAGACTCATGATGTGTACCACCGTTGAATGCTTAAAGGTTCTCTAAGCGATCCTGGGTGACGTCACTTCTTGTTGACGTTCGAACTATTGTCAAACAAAACGGAGGCTAGCTAGACCCCCCCTCCTCCTCATTCGCACACTAACCCCCCAAACCACACCCCCAAACCCTTCTTGTCGGTCATTGGCTGGAACAGTTTGTTATGTTTCGTGGTGCGGGTAAGCCCAGTTTGTTTTTGTTGCCGTTTGTGGAGCCTGGGGTGTCTGCAGAGACCGCGTTTTTTTACAGTGTGTTCAGGGGACAGGCAGCTAGCGGATAGTGAGGAGATGTTTGCTGTGTGTGACAAAAAAAGTTTTGGCCTAAAAAACGCGTGACATCGCTTAGAGCACCTTTAACTTTGAATTGTTATATTGCTATAATCAGGTCAATTACTGAAACCAAAAGGATCCATTTCATAAGAACTAACGCCTTAAATCGACTTTGTTTGTAGAGTTTCTTGCTGAATTTCCTGATTATTAGACTTTATTCGAAAAAACAACAATATATTTTAGAAATACTCTATTATGCATTAGTATATTTAGAATACTAATATGTAAACTGTTAAACAATGTGATTGGTAAAGCCTCTTGTATAAATGGCACACCATCTAAAGGAGTTTGCTGACCATATAAGGTGTGCCTACACTTTTTCTGACCATTTCCTTCTGTGGCTCTTTCCTGATTAAGGTCAGCCTGCTTCAAGATCAGACCTAGATCAGTTCAGACATGGCTACTGGTTTCTCAGGTTGGAGTGATGAATGTGGACACTTGAAAAATCATCAAAGACACTGTGATCTACGAGTTTAGATTTGGGCACCAGCAGCCCATAAATCACAGCTTTAACAGAGACGATCTTGTCTGGAGTCACCGAAGCCTCAGTTGAGGGCTTATACAACCTCCAGCTGCTCTTGGAGTTTCTTTCAAAATCATTGACTGACTGGTGTGGGTTCTTTCAGTCATCATTGTCTGCCAGCTAGACTGACAACAAATCTAAGTATAGTTATTTAACCACAGAGGCTCCTTCATGACTCATTTGCAATCACTCATCATTACCATCAAGTGAAAGATTGATGATTTCTTGCCTTGGGAATTTATTTGGTAAAGCATATGAGGACCTTCAAAAAAGAAACCAATGCAATAAGGTCAACATAAAGTTGGACTTCCCCCTACTCACCCTCTTCCTTCATGACAAACTAACAAGCCTAACAAAAAAAAAAAAAAAAAAAATCCTATAAACAACCAATAAGAAATATCAGTGAATTATTTATTCTACAATAGTATTCATAGAGAACAAAGTAAAGCGTTTACAGGAAATCTCTTCCCCACACTCGTCCTCGCAACTATGACTCTCAAGATAGCATCTTATGTTTCTATGCATGATAGACCTGAAATTTCAACTGTGACTGGATGTCACAAAAAACCCTAGTTCAGTTGTGAAATGGATGGATTTTTTTATTGAATGCTTCTCAGTGTTGCAATAACACCCACAAAATACGAGTGTATTGTGTGAGTGCATACTGTTTTGTCCATGTCCATGTTCATGTCTAGTCCAGTTCTAACCAGATGGAGTTTATAAATAAAGTAATTGCAGTGCAGCTGATGGCTCCCTTTGTGGTTGTGGACAGGGTCCAGATAAGGTGCATGTACAGCATGTTGAAGTCTACATAATGTTTGATGAATCAGCAAAGACACTTTCCACAAATAGGGTACAAAATAAGGTCCAAAACCCTTTAAAATACTACATTTTTAAGCAAATATGAAGAAAATTTATGTAAGGAGGTGCAAAGCCTTCAGAAAATGTTAATCGTCAACCACATTAGGTCAAGGTATCTATAAAATACATAGCAAAAAGTAACGTAGTAACACTTTACAATAAGGTTTCATTTGTTTCATTAGTTGTGTAATTATACATTTAGGTATTGAGTAATATTAAAGGGGTGGTATAAAGCCCCTTTTTACAATATGTAAAATAGGTCTCTGTTGTCCCCAGAGTGTGTATGTGAAGTTTTAACTCAAAATACCCCACAAATAATTCTTTACAGCGTGTTAAAATTGTCCCTTTTTGAGGGTCAGGACGTTTCGTGTGTGTCCCTTTAAATGCAAATGAGCTGCTGCTCCCAGCACAGAGGGTGGAGCTTCAAGAGCTTGTGTGTGTGTGTGTGTGTGTGGGTGTGTGCAGTGTTGCCAACTTAGCGCCTTTGTCGCTATTTTTAGCGACTTTTCAAACCCCTTTAGCACATTTTTTCAAAAAAGCGACTAGCGACAATTTTAGCGACTTTTTGGACAAACCTCAGTAACTTCCAAATGTTGCCAGTACTGTCCTGCGAGCGTGAGGTCTTGCTTTCTCCATGTCATCACTCTCTCTAGCTGCGTCTCCCCTGTTCAGTGAATGGCTGAGAGGAGCGCACGGCCGCTGACAGACGCGAATGAGCAGTGTTTTTCCACGGACTTATCACTTATCTGCTTTTCTTTTGTTTTATATTTAAAGAATTTAGTTTGACCATTTTAATTTTATTTCTTTTCTTGTGCTTATTACTTGTAACACTCACTTTCACAGAGCTTAGTTCATCCGGTTCCCTAACTCTCTCAATTCAGATAATGTTCCACGGCCTATAAAAAATGTAATCATTCACTATATTATGGCTACTCGTTCTATTGTCTGACAACAAAAAATAGGAAATGAGAACAGCTTTATTTGACATTCGGCTATATTATATTAAATAGAGCATTAATTTAGAGAGAAAACGCACTAGGCTGACCGAACGCGAGTACGACGCGATGACGTCATTAACCCTTTGACGCGTACGATCACACCGGTGTGATCAGTCTTGGCTGGTCCCTGGTGCGTACGATCACACCGGTGTGATTAGAACGGTCAGTGCATCACGTGATCAACTGCTAAATTCAAACGTGCTTTCGTGCGTTGGCTGGCGCTGAGCCAGAGACAGACGCACTCAGTGCTGTCATATATCACAACTATTGAGTATTTTAAACCACATAATGTTTATTTTAGGTTTCAGACATTTAAATACACATAAGTACTAGCAAAACAGTGATTTTGAATTAGTAAAATAGACACTGATGTCTATGGAAACGGCAACAATAATCATTTCCATTATAATAAGACAAAACGTTTTATTCATATCAGATACACATTGTGTAAGTAGCTTTACATTTTACCCTATTCTTCTCCTAGTTCACCGGCCACTTACTTTCATGTATTTCGTGAGAAACAACAGGTCCGATTCTCTGAACTGTGAAACAAACTAACATGGCGCCGCCCATCGTGCATACAGCTCAACTAACGCGATCGTTATAAATATGTTTAAACAACAAAACACATCCACTTGCACA